GGTACCGACTTTCCCTACAAATTAGTAATATTGTGTCAGGTTTCCGAGTATTCCCATTTGTATATTATAGTAGTTTAATTTCCGTCTCATGTAAGCAATAGATCCCATATAAATTCCTATTACTGGTTGTTCTTGGAAATCCTCTTGAAAACAAATGTCGGTATCGGACCTTTTTTATGAACATTACATAATTAAATATCTCACCCATCCAAAAATCCACCCCTTAGATCTGATAGATATGATAGACATCCAAAAGTTCATTTTTAAAAAATCCACGCCTTAGATCTGATAGACCTCCAAAAGTTCATTGTTAAAAAATCCACGCCTTAGATCTGATAGACCTCCAAAAGTTCATTGTTAAAAAATCCACGCCTTAGATCTGATAGACCTCCAAAAGTTCATTGTTAAAAAATCCACGCCTTAGATCTGATAGACCTCCAAAAGTTCATTGTTAAAAAATCCACGCCTTAGATCTGATAGATCTCCAAAAGTTCATTGTTAAAAAATCCACGCCTTAGATCTGATAGACCTCCAAAAGTTCATTGTTAAAAAATCCACGTCTTAGATCTGATAGACCTCAAAAAATTATTTATAAAAACTCTACGCCTTAGATCAGATAGACCTCCAAAAATTATTTATTAAAAATCCACGCCTTAGATCAGATAGACCTCCAAAACTTAATTGTTAAAAAATCCACGCCTTAGATTTGATAGACCTCCAAAAATTAATTGTTAAAAATCTACGCCTTAGATCAGATAGACCTCAAAAAATTATTTATAAAAACTCTACGCCTTAGATCAGATAGACCTCCAAAAATTATTTATTAAAAATCCACGCCTTAGATCAGATAGACCTCCAAAAATTATTTATTAAAACTCCACGCCTTAGATCTGATGGACCTCCAAAAAATATTTGTTAAAAATCCACGCCTTAGATCTTATAAACCTCCAAAGATTATTTCTTAAAAATCCACTCCTTAGATCTGATAAACCTCCTAAAATTACTTATTAAAAATCCACGCCTTAGATCTGATAGACCTCCAAAAATTATTAATTAAAAATTCACGCCTCAAATCTGATAGACCTCCAAAAAATTATTTATTAAAAATTCGCGCATCAAATCTGATAGACCTCCAAAAATTATTTATTAAAAATCCACGCCTTAGATCAGAAAAACCTCCAAAAATCCAAATACGTTATATTACATTAAATTCCTGTTTTTTTAATTCCCCATTTATTAAAATATTTTATTTTCTTCAATATATTTTCAGTAAATAAAGTTGACGAGGTAAAGCCTGTACTGAAAGCCGTTGTAAGCGATGAGCCCCAGTCTAAGGTGGCCTAATTTTAAACACACTACAATGACATCTACAATTATGTTAAGTACAATTATAATACTATGGGCCAATTACAAAAACAATTTTGTCAAAATAAAATTCACCACCACCATCAATGCATTTACATATATTAAGGAAATATTTTTTCTAGTATAGTTTTATAATACTTATAAGAAGATGTCCTTAGAAACAACAACAAACATTCACATATTCATGCATATTTATCATCACCATCATAAAAAATCATTAAAAAAAACAAAAACAAGGAAAACGTAAAATCCAAAATAAAAAAAATCACAAATGTAATACAAAGCGATAGCACAACAACAAAAGCAAATGAAAAAAAATAATAAAAATAATATCAACAAAAATATATTTATGTTTTCATTTTGTAAATAACTGGATTTTTTGTACATAGTGCGAACATTCTCAAGATCACAATATTTTTAACGAGGGTTACTACCTCATTAGCTACTGGCACAAAAAGAGGCAATTGCCTGTTTAGTCATTTTTGGCAGATTAGCTGGGACTTGTCATTTGCCAGGCATTAGAAGCTATAAGAACTGGGAACTTAAAACGCCTCACTCCTGGATTCTATTGATTAATTTATGGAGACATTCTTTCTGGGATTATTATTTCCCAATCTCTTATTTTGGTCCAAAAGTTTTTCCTCTTAAACTGTCTATCAAGAGCTAAATATGGTAAGTATAAACATTTGCCAAAAAAATTTTTGGCTCGCAAATTTTTTGATATTCATATACCATACATACCAACCTGTTGCTGAAATATGGGTGTTAACAATTTGCCGCTAGTCCATTATCTCCATGTCAACAAAATTACCATACAAACAAATAAATCTTTTGTAAGTATGTATGTTTGCAGCATACATTTTACTACAATCCAAAAACAAACTTTTGGGTTTTTTCGCAGATGAAAAATAAGACCAAAGATAAATAAATATTTCCAAATAAATAATGTAAACAATCAAGTGGAACAATAAACATACCGTCGCTCTATGTACTCCAGCATATTTAGGTATGTATGTATGTACATAAATACTGGATGGTGCACAAATTTAAATGACACTGTACGCATGCGTGACGCGATACATTGACTGCGAAACAGTTATTAATGGCATCGAGTGGGAAAGACAGACGGCACATGGATTTATGGTAGTAATTGGTGTTGTCTACTTGGCGGATTAATTTAAAGGAACTATTTCCCAAATTCACAACTTAGATCGGATAGTCATTAAAAAAAATATTTATTAAAAATTCAAGCCTTACAACGGACCTTCAAAAATATTTGTTAAACATCCACACCTAAGATCTGATAGACATTCAAAAAATATTTGGTAAAAAATCAGGCCTTATATCTAATATACCTTCAAAAATTCGGTTTAAATTCACACCTTAGATCTGAAAGACCTTCAAAAAATATTTGTTAAAAATCCACGACTTCGATCTGATGACCTCCACATATTGTTTGTAAAACATCCCCATCTTAGCTCAAAACTTACTTCTCTGTATTTTTTAATAAAAACCACATGGATCTATACCGAACATTTTCTACAAAGACATTTTTCACCCCCCAAGATGCCAAATTGCATCCAAAATAAAATCCTAGATCTGTTAGACCTTCAAAAAATATTCGGTAAAAAATCACGGCTATGTTCTGATAGACCTTCAAAAAATATTCGGGAAAAATTCACACCTTTAGTCTGATAGACCTTCAAAAATTATTTATTAAAAATCTACGTCTTAGATCTGATAGACCTCCAAAAATTATTTATTAAAAATCTACGTCTTAGATCTGATAGACCTCCAAAAATTATTTATTAAAAATCCACGCCTTAGATCTGATAAACCTCCAAAAATTATTTATTAAAAATCCACGTCTTAGATCTGATAGACCTCCAAAAATTATTTATTAAAAATCCACGCTTTAGATCTGATAAACCTCCAAAAGTTATTTATTAAAAATCCACGCCTTAGATCTGATAGACCTCCAAAAATTAAAAAATCCAAACTCTGCTAAACCTTCAAAAATATTTGTAAAAAACCCATATAATTATCTATACCGAACATTTTCTTTCAAAAATATTTTTCACCTTTCAGGAATCCGATAATAGAGCGGGACCTTTGTATATGAAAACATGGACCTACACTGTACATTTTCTAAACCGAGGGTTGGAAAATGCGGCAACCGTTATAGCTATTCCGTACCATGGACCGATATATAAAATTTCAAAGCTCTATTTATACCCTACACAACTAAGTTGTCAGGGTATTATAGCTTTGTGCAGCCCCAAAAGTTTGTAACGCTGCGAAATATTGATCCTACACGACTAGCTGAGTCGATCTAGACATGTCCGTCCGTCCGTCTGTCCATTATAATTTGTAAACACGATACAGGCCACAGTTATGGACCAATCTTCACGAAATCTTGCATGTAGAATGGGTTCTGGCCAATGAAGACACCTATTGGCTTTGGAAAAGATTGGTTAATATGTAAGGGATGAAATGGACCAAAAACTTTAAAAACACCGCGAATTTTTGCATAGAGAAGGGGATCGGGCCAGAGAATAAGCATGCCTGTTTTGATAAAGATCGGTCAATATTTAGCGGGTCAAATGGACCCTGACTTTTGTGTGAAAAATGACAAAATTTGTATATTTGTATTTGTATACATTTACCCCTGAAGAACAGAGACCCGACAACGTCTAAAATTTTCGGGGATGAAGTGGGCCGAAAACTTATTTTTTCGAGTCCACGAGGCCACAATTTTAAACCGAACATCACAACACAAATCACGGTCAAGGGCATCAGGACAAGTAATTAGAAGGACTGTAATGAATATAAGTAATATTCGGAAAATATGTCAGTGTAAGGAAGAGGTGCTGTTGACCTCTAATCGGGCAAGAGGGAGCAACTATCACGAAATTTTGCCAGGCACGGAATGAAAATCCGCAGAAAGTAAGATTTCCGTGATAATTGTGTAGGGTATCGTATAGTTGGCCCGTCCGACTATACTGCTCCGCTCACTGGTTTAAATATTGCAATGTCTATCGAGATTTCAACAAAAAGACGGGCGGACATGACCAAATCCACATCGAATTTTATTCTGCTCAATAATATCCTCGTTTACTTTATGGAACCTCCGACGAATTTCGAGGTGTGGAAAACGATAGAGGGTATACAAATCGACATCTATTGTTATGTCAGGCATCCGGATACTTTTTCAAAAATTTCTTGTTTTTAAATTTTATTAAATTTGACAACACTCTTTTATGGGACACTACCGAATATAATGCAATCAAAGAGTACATCAACTTTAACATTCCCCACAGAAGACAGCGACCAATCGACCGACAACGACATGCCAAAGAAATGTTTTGGCCGTCAACGGTGCTGCTGATCGGCCATGCAAGTCACACTCACCAAAGTCAACATTCAACGATCACAAAATTTTGAGTTTGGCAATCAGTGACGCAGTGGCGGTGAACAAGTAAAGTGGCCGAGACATAAGCACAGACCAAATAAATAAGGAACACATTATCATAAAGAAAAAAATAAATAAATAAAGTGAATATAAGCAAGAAAAATAAAAAACAAAAAAATATTTAACGAATGGCCAAAAACAAAATTTAAAGAAGGAAAAAACAATGGCAAATCCTTTATTAACAATTCTCCTGGCAGGATATGCTGCCATTTTAATAACTGTTACAGAAAGTGCCGCTATAATAGAAAATCCCAAATTAAATGATCTAAGTAAAGGTGAAGATGGTTTCCTGGAATTGAGACCAAATGGAAATTTGATATTGCGTGGTGCTGTAGAACAATCGCCGAATACCCTGCAACAGGCCCTGCTATTCAAAAGTATCCTAAATGCAATACGTGCTGTACCGGGAAATACTCTAAATGAGTTGAGTGTAAAAATCTATGGAGAGGGTGTTGAACATAAATTTCCACCATTTTTGGAAAGGGTCATCCAACGTATACAAACATATTTTTCGGTATATAAATATACGGATACCACTGAACCGTTGCCGGTTAAATATAAGCCTCTGAATGATACCCTCTACGATGAAATCGATGTGACATTGAGTAGTGACGATGTTGAGTTGGTCAAAAATAAGACCGGCAAACCACCAGAGGAGACAACAGTCATGACAACGTCGTCATCGACGTCGTCGTCGGCAGCAACATCAACCGCAGCCGTCGCCACAACAGGTACAGTGCCAGCAACAACTTTGATTGTCACAACCAACCGTGATGATAGCTGGACAACCAAGCCGTTACCGGTTGAAGAACTTCACGATGAAGAAAATGAATTTTACGAAATTAAAAAACACAAACCCAAAGGAAAATCGTAAAAAATAAAGAAAATCCAGTTGATTTTTATCGTTTTCTCTTTTCTTTCGTTTTAAGAGTTGTCTTGTTGATTTTTGATATTCGTATTTAAGTGATATTATTTATTTATTTATTTTATCAAATATACATACACACATACACTTATCCAAGCCTCATTACTTATGACCGCTATAAAAGAAATAAACTGTATGTCATAAAATAGAAATAATAATCGTGTTTTATTTGTAGGGGAGAGAGTAAACTGATTTCGCCACCAATGTCTGGAACACAATGACCTCTTTGGATATGGACAAATAGACAACTGGGTGACTTAAGTTGTCTGTTCGTCAATATAAATTTTGTACATAAAATTGAGGTCACATAGATTGGTTTGATTTTCTAAATGAGATTTAGTCAAGTTAGTAAAGCATCAGCCCTACGACGGTCGACTGTCTGCCTACAAATATCAGCTGACTGACAACTTAATATCATTTTAATTCTAATCTTAACAGCTAGGGTTTTGGGTCCAAGATTTAAAAATCGACTCTGGAGGCAACAATAATTCATTGGGTGTAAGGTGGGCTGTGTAATTTCACGATTTGGCTGATAAAAAAAATTCTGGTTTGTGTAGGTGTTTGAAAGCTCCCATTGTTTCGGTTCGTTATTTTTCGATTTTCTCCAAATACTTTATACAAGCGGAACTGTGGACTCCCAAAGAAACAGGCGTCAATGGGTTTTGAAGATATTCTTTCACGAACAACTTTCCTTGGTCGTCTCCGATAATTGATGTTTTCGGGTTCACCCGTGACAATCTTCTGAACGTCTATTGAAACTCCGCCATAATATTTTAATACCCTCAGCCCATGGCTAATAAATGTATTTACACTTTCCTACGATAAAAATATGCCTCATCGAAATATCGGTTTCAGACTGATGATCACTATAACTCTCGAAGAGAGTGACCGATTTCATCCAAATTTAGATTAGGTATAGGTGCACTCTTTCTGGGCCTCCCCACAAAATTGTCAATATTTTGTTGAAAATTAATTTTTAAATTTTGCGAACGAAGTATCAGATTTTGGAGTCGATTTAGAAGTATCTGTCCGTCTGGCTGATGCTCACGAAGGAAGTAACGAATTTCAACCAAACTTTGCATATCGTAATATTCTACCAAAACCAGATCCATGCTGTCTAAACCTCAGTGCAACTATCTGATATATAGGTCCATCATCTTTGGGACCTCCAACACAAAAGTCAAGATTAGTGTATACCACATACGATATGTCATTGGTTGAAGTTATATACCTATCGACAACACGACTCACTTTTTATGGCTTTCTTTTTTAATTTCTTTACTACAAACCTTTTCTAAGCGATTTAAAAATTGTTCGATTGACTACGATAACAAATCTTATTTTCGACCAGGAGCTCATGTAATATTGAATGAAATATCCAAGGGTCAGTTCGCCCACGACATGTGTGTTCTGTGGCAGAACTGCCTTTTTTGGTCGACATTTGATTTTGTTGTTGTTTTATAACCTCCTCTATTGGATAGGGTGTTTATTCAACTTCTCATTGCGATTGCAATCGAAGTCGGAGACCTTATAAAATTTTTTAAAGATTTAGCCGTATCCGTCTGTCTGTTGAAATCAGGATAGAGAGCTGATGATTAGTATTGTATATGGTATATATAGGTCCAGGTTTTGGCATAGCTATCATATAAAGGTCCTGCTCCTTTTTCGGTATGTTTTTGGTTTAGTCGTATTTTACCACCTAGGTGGCTGTAATTTGGCATTTCGGCTTCTTTTACAACTTTCCAGAAAATTGTCGATAATATAAATGCAAAGTTTGAGGATTTCGGAGGATAAAAGATAATGTTCAATATAGGTCCATGTTTTGACAATTTGGGGTATAAAAGAATAAAAAACTTCTTAGCAGAATATTTTCAATATAGATTAATATATGCGTTTGTCAGCAACATCCATTATCCGACATCAGTCCGACAGACCCCAAAATGTCAAAGTACTAACATTTCTCTTGATATACATATATTGACTATTATCGAATATAGGGCTGATAGATTTAAGAGCCTGTACTGAAATGTTGTTAAACCTATATTACCTAAAATATGAATTTCATTACGTAAACCCAAACCAGTGAGCGGAGCAGTCTGACGGGGCCGACCATGTGATATGCTACACAACTACCACGGAACTGTAACTTTCTGCAGATTTTTATTCCGAGCCTGGGTAATATATTCATATAATTTCACCCTCTTGCCCGATGAGAGGTTAACTGCAGCTCTCCCTTACACTGACTTATTTTCCGAATATTACTAATATTCAGTACAGTCTTTCTAATTACTTGTCCATATTCCCTTCACCGTGGGTTGTGTTGTGATGTTCGTGTGATGTTCTCGTGAAAACAAAAAAAAAAATTGGTCCACTTCATCCCAAATTGTTATCTGATCATCACCGAAAATTACAGGCGTTTCAATGCGATCAGCGCTATATTTCCGCCCTCCAGGTTTACTAAATAATATCTGAATACGTAAGCACCTGTTAATATTTACGTGTAACTCCCACATCCGTGTACATACGACAATATAATTGATATCAATTTAAAGTTTAACTACTCCTCTTGGATATACAATCAACGTCTCGGGTCTATGTCCTTCAGGAGCAAATATATACGCTTTAGAATACAAATTTTTGTAATTTTTCACACAAAAGTCAGGGTCAATTTGACCCGCTAAATATTAATCGATCTTTATCAAAGCAGGCATGCTTATTCTTTGGCCCAATCCCCTTCTCCATGTAAAATTTCGCGATTTTTGGGCCATAATTGTGACCTATGGAAAGACCAGAAAAACGTACAAAAATTAAGTATTTGGTCCATTTTATCCCCTAAATATTAACCGATCTTTCCCAAAAACAATAGCGGTCTTCATTGACCAGAACCGATCCTACAAGCAAAATTTCGTGAAGATTGGTCCATAACTGTGGCCTGTATCGTGTTAACAAATTATAATGGACTGACGGACACACATGTCTAGATCGACTCAGCTAGTCGAGATATGACGATCGGTATACTTGAAGGTGGGTCTAGGCCAATATTTCGCGGCGTTACAAACACTTAGGGCTGCACAAAGCTATAATATAAGACCGTGTTGAATTTCGTTAATTTAGCAACATAATTGCGGACTATAGAACAATAAGAAACTTTTAGGTATTAAACTACAGGTTTCATCCTTAACCACAAACGGAACTTCATGTGTAATTTCGCAACGAACAGCGCGACTAGACATGTAAATGTATTAGTATAACTTCAATATCAGAATAAATACATCAACATAATTGATATCAATCTAAACTACTCATGGATACACTGACAATTTCTCCGAACTATATTTCCACAAAGTAAATGTATACCCCATAACATGAAAAAAAAAACAGTAAGGAAAGTAGTAAAGTCGGACTGGGCCGACTATATGATACCCTTCACCACTTTGGGTATATTGTACATATGTATTCTAATAATTGCATGTCTATGTTCCCTCTTTCTCCAACCTATTCTAACTTTAATTTCATTCGAGCAGATTTAGAGCCGCCTGCGTAACATGGGGAAAATTTATGGAAAACGATTTATTTTGTTTTTATTGATACACGCTATTCACTACGCCGCGTTGTTAAAAATATAATCTATATGTGGGAGTTATATTTAATCTGAACCGATTTTCACGAAAATTAACACACATCTCTCTAGACTTAATTCAGTACGCTATGCCAAATTTTGTGCAAATCGAAGGATATATATAGGGACCTTGATGCACCATTTACATTTGTACCGAAGGATACAAAGGGACTTTGGTGCACTATTTAAATTTAACACACATCGTTTTAGACTTTATTCAGTATGCTGTGCCAAATTTCGTGCAAATCGAAGGATATATAGAGACGATGGTGCATCATTTACATAAAATCGGACGAACATATATATGAGAGCTATATCGAAATCTAGACCGATTTTCCCGAAACTCACCACTCATCATTCTATACTCAATTTAGTACGCTAAGCCAAATTTCGTGCAAATGGAAAAATATATAGGGACTTTGGTACACCATTTACCTTAAATCGGACGAAAATATATATGGGAACTATATCCAAATCTGAACCGATTTTCAGGAAACTTGACACACATCATTCTAGACCTAATTCATTACGATGTGCCAAATTTCGTACAAATCGAAAGTTATATAGGGACTTTGGTACTCCATTTACCTTAAATCAGACGAAAATATATATGGGAGCTATATCCAAATCTGGACCGATATTAAAGAAACTTTGCACACATCATTATAGACCTAATTCATTACGCTGCGCTTAATTTCGTGCAAATGGAAAAATATATAGGGACTTTGGTACACCATTTACCTTAAATCGGACGAAAATATATATGGGAACTATATCCAAATCTGAACCGATTTTCAGGAAACTTGACACACATCATTCTAGACCTAATTCATTACGATGTGCCAAATTTCGTACAAATCGAAAGATATATAGGGACTTTGGTACTCCATTTACCTTAAATCAGACGAAAATATATATGGGAGCTATATCCAAATCTGGACCGATATTAAAGAAACTTTGCACACATCATTATAGACCTAATTCATTACGCTGCGCTTAATTTCGTGCAAATCGAAAGATATATAGGGACTTTGGTACACCATTTACCTTAAATCGGACGAAAATATATATGGGAGCTATATCCAAATCTGAACCGATTTTCAGGAAACTTGACACACATCATTCTAGACCTAATTTATTACGCTGTGCCAAATTTGTACAAATGAAAGATTTATAATACTTTGGTACACCATTTACCTTAAATCGGACGAAAATATATATGGGAGCTATATCTAAATCTGAACCGATTTTTCACAATTTCCATGGGGTTCGCCCTTAAGCCAAATAAGTGACCTATGCCAAATTTCATCCAATTAGGATTATAAATACGACCTGTACTTTGTTTAAAATTTAACATCGACAGACAGACGGACATGCATAAATCGACTCAGAAAGTAATTCTATGCATATTCTCAAAAGGAACCATGTGTCTATCTCGTCTCCTTTTGCCTGTTACAAACATATGCACAAAGACATAATACCCTGTACCACATAGTGGTGAAGGGTATAAAAACAAACTGATTGACGCTTTATTGTCTGGGCGAACTACATAAACGTGTATTTGTGATTTAAACACACATTGGTTGTGAAGTAGTTCTATGGAAATGTATTAGTTTATTATTGCCTATTGACTCTGAAAGTTATCAAATCTAATAATAACTGGTATTCAACTTTCTTAATAACATTTTATTGGTCGTATTTGTTTTGATATCTAAAGAGTTATTTTTTATATTTCTGCGGTTCTTTTATTTCCAAAATTAAAAAAAAATGAATGATAACACGTTTGATGATTTGAATGTTTGTTTATTATTATTATTTTTGTTTCGTTAATCATCATCATCACCATCGTCGTTCTCATCCGTGTCAAAATCACAATCATCGGTAGTGGTAGTAGTAGTTAGTGGTGCTGTTTACCGATCATTAGTTACGTCAATAACTTTATTTTGCATAAAAAATTGTTCATAGCTGTCATTTTTCATTCTCGTTTGTCTGAGAATTTACTAGCATCGCAGTGGAATGACAGACGAGTCGAGTGGAAGGCATTGTCCATCGCACTCAGAAGAAATTAATTAATTGTTTTTATTTGGTTCCAGGCCTTTTCGGGCGATAGTTAATAGTTCGTGTCACTTTGATTTAATCATCATTTGTATTAAATTCCAAACCATGCCTAATAGTTTTTCGTGATTTTTTTGTTTCCTTTTTTTCAAAAAAATGTTTGTTAAATGGAATTCTTATCTAATTCTATTACCTGGCGAGGTAGCATCATTTGTTAATTATGTTTATTGCGCAATTCAATGGGCGGAAAATCCCAAAAAAAAAATTGACAGCAACCAACCAGCCAACCATTAACAATTCTAACGATCCACGAAAAGGTGAAAGGTAAATCGTGTTTATCGTAATACCCGTTTTAATGGTGATACTTTTGTTTATTTTGAGATGTGGAGTGTCGGGAATTTGGAATCTAAGCGCCAGGTTAAAGGATCAAATGTGACAGTGCCATGGAAATTATTTACAACAACTTACAACTACAAAAAGGAAAACAGTTAATTTTTTTCATTTTAAGGATAATCATACTGTGAGCGATCGAAAGGTCTATATGCTGAAGTACAGATAGTTTGTTACATATGAACTGAAGGGCCAGATAGCATATTATTGAGAAGACGATGAAAGGCCAGATGCCCTGCAGAACTAGGGAGACGTTGTAGACGAGCTTACGGAACATTCTGTATATATAGACGATTTCAAAGGGTGTTGATTATAGCAGAAGACCAAAGAGTCTATATAGCCGGCCGGAGGGCCGCAGTTTATTATAGAGGTTATGAAGAGTCAGATAGTTTGTTACATATAATTGGGGAATAAAAGTATGAGGGGCCCTATTAAAGACAAGCTCAAGAGTCAAGGTGTTTGTTAAAGAAGCACTAAATGACGTATTACCGAGGAACTGAAATATTATATATATATATATATATATATATATATATTTCAGTTCCTCGGTAATACGTCATTTAGTGCTTAAGCTTAAATATCATATTAATTATTATAGGCAGCCGAAGATTTTGGAAGTTTTTCATAGACGCACTGAAGGACCATGATTAAACCAGGGATTATAAGCGCCAAATATTTTATATACAAGTTTAAATGCATGATTAGTTATTCTATCATAAAGCTAAAAATTCTGGGTGTCAATTGTAATGGAGCTCAAGAACCAGAGATTTTAACATAGAGAAGCTGAGGATTCGGAGAAGCTGATGATAGAAGGACCAGGGCAAAATAGCAAAGGAACTAGGATTCTACTACATAACTGAAGGTGCAGGTGAAAGATCAAAGATTATACTATAGACTAGGGACAAGTAAATCGACTTTCGACTAATCGATTAATCGACTTTTTGTATTAAAAAGTCTATTAGTCAAAGTCGACTTTAGATCTTTGAGAAAATCGCAAAGTCGACTTTTCAAGATCGATTTCGATTTTCTTCATAAATACTTGGTTTATTACCACAAAGCCGAAATTGCCCAAAGATTGCACATTCCAAAACTTTATTTCATCTGTTGACAACAATTCTTATAAAAAAATAAAATTTTTAGTCGATTTTGCTTTAATTGGTAAAAGTCGAAAATCGATTTTGACTAGGTTTGACAAAATCAAAAGATCGAAAAGTTGACTTTTTAGTCAAAGGCAAAAATCGAAAAGTCTAAAAATCGACTTTTTGGTCAAAGGCAAAAATCGACAAAACTAAAAGTCGACTTTTACTCTCGACTACGTATCCCTACTATAGACGAGCTGAACATACAGGGAATATACATATATAAATAATCAGGGTCATGGTCTGTAATAATTAGGATCTGAAGAGACATGGAGTCTATCTGGGTTATGGTCTGTATTATCTAGGAGCTGAGGAAACATGGGGTCTATTATGAATGTTTTGTCATAGAGCGCTAAAATCAGGAAGCATCTTATAGATACACTGAAGTATCGGAACTAAATGGATAGATAGTCTCTGTATGATTCTACCACATACGATTGGAAGGTCTAAAAGACCATATATAAGAATAATATATACCCATTTATAAAAAGTCGAGATCAGTCCCCAAAATGCCAAACTGCTAAAATTTCTCTTAATAATTATCTACTATTATCGAAATAAAGACCCTACACTTAGATTTTCTTCTACCTTAGGTTATGTCTTTACGTACCCTGAATGTCTTTACGTAAACCAAAGTCGGAAGCTTTTAGGTAGTAGTTTAAAATATCATATGGGCTATATTTTAAACTACTACCTAAAAGTTCAACTGTGTTCTCTAACAATACTAAAATCAATGGACCCGTTAAATGTTCAAGTCCAATATACAATAGATTAAGGATTTGTCATAGAGCGCTATAATCAGGAAACATATTATAGGCACACTGAAGGATCGAGGCTAAATGGACAGATAATGTATGTATGATTCTACTACATATAATCTGAAGGTCTAAAGAACCATATACTAACAAAGAAAACTTTAATTATCAGGGTGTTTATTACAGATGGGCTGAAGGTTCAGAAAGCCTTTAATATAGATTTAGAGGACAAATCGAAGAAGTTGTTATTGTTAAGATGTTTAATATCCCTGGAGTCTATTACATTTTGAATTGAATGAACAGAGTTTTTATTATCGAGCAACGAAAGAGCCAGGGAGTCTATTATACTGGATTTGATCATAAACGATCCGAAGTACAAGGGAGTATATTACAGTCAAATTGTCGAGTTAGGACTTAATGATCAAGGAGTCATTTTATACGAGCTGAAGAGGCAGGGATGAATCTGCAGGTGAATAAACGGACCATAAAGTCTATTATAGACGAGCTAAATAATCAGGACAATATATAGATGAGCTGGAGAGTCTAGTAATCTATATAGCCGATTTAAAAGGGCCAGGGATATATTCTATATGACCAGAATCATTTCATAAACCAGTCAATATAGACAAGCCAAGTGGGATCTCATGTACCAAAGAGTTTATACGATTATAGGAAAGCTGTGTCGCCAGGGAGTCTACTGTAGAGTAGCCTATGGGTCAGGTTGTCCTAAGCCTAACACATATATAGACGAGTTAAAAGGGATATTGATTCAATATAAACAAGGACTATGATGTTTAGTATTGCTGAGATTAAAATCCATAGAGTCCGTCTATTACACATGAACTGAATAACGTGACTTTATTATACTGGATTTGATTATAAACGATCTGAAGTCACAGGGAGTATATTACAGACAAGTTGAAGAGATTATTTCTACAAATTACAATAGTGTCAGAGAGTCCTTTATGGATGTGCTTAATGCTCAGGAGAATATAGAGAAGGGTCGGTAATATATATATATATATAGATCAGATATATATTTGAAATAAATGACAGGGGTCTATATAGCCGAGCCGAATGAGATCTCATGGGCCAGAGAGTTTATATGATTATAGGGAAACTGTGGAGCCAGGCAGTGTACTGTAGACTAGCTTCTGGGCCATGTAGTTTAAAGCGTAGGTGCCAGGTAGTTGTTATATTCAATCTATGTGTATATATAGATAAGCTAAACGATCCGTAGTCGTACTAGAATATCTGAAAGGCCTGGAGGTCTATAGAGACAAGCAGAAGAGTAGAAGTCTATATAGTCGATCTGAATGATCACTTTAACGTTTGACAAAAAACGTCTCGAATGATTATCAATTCTTTCTCCATAAAATTTTCCAATCTAAAAAGACGACCTAAACGAACAGTAATCGTACTAAAATATCTGATAGGCCTGGATAGAGATAAAAACAAGAGTAGAAGTCTATGCAGACGATCTGAAGGATCGCTTGTTGAAATATCCGACTATGTGGCTACAATTTCGTAATCCGAGTTTTTAAAGTCAGTAGAAGTTTTTCAATAAAAGTTCATTTTTTTGACAAAACAAAACTTTCGAACGATAATCCCTTGCTTATCCTTTAAAATTTCCAAGCAACAAAAATGAAATTGTTTCTTGATTGTTTGTGTTGATGGGGTTTAAAAATGATTCACTCATTAAACCTAGGCATGCTGTTATATTTTCCACCATTTTAAATTTAAAATTTTTAATAAGGACATTAATTTCAATTTATATGAATTACTTCACACTTCTTTAAACATTTTAATGACAGTTGTGGGCGATGTGACAAATTCCATGAACGTGTAAACAAATCGAATAAATTAAAATCAGAATTCGATCGTTTGTTTAATGTAGAATTTACATCATCCTCAAAAGATTCCAATCCAAAAGTCAATTCAATTATGACGTTGAACCAAACCTGATTTTGAATAATGATTTTTTGCATATTGCTAGAATGTTCATCTTAGCAAACGCAAAAATTAACGCAGATAACGCCAGAGATTTTTTTCTTAAATACCTTATATTTACTTTAAAAAAATTCACTAAGATAACGGTTATTTTCTAGCAGTGATTATGCCATATTTAACGTTCTTTTAAAAGGTCGGTGGCGCCAATTTAAAAATGGGCCTACTTTAAATTGGCATTACAATTGATTTACTTCGTTCTTAGTAATATATAAATTTTACAGCTGGCCACGGATCTGTAGTTATGATATTTACAGCGAAATATCGTGCCTGAAGTCAGTGAAAGCTTCGAGCTGTTTCCGCATCCTCTGAATCTCTTCCCGTTTTTGAATTTTCGAATAGGGCGGGATCTTTCGACCTGGAAGGTCTAAACATTCTTCGATCAGTTAAAAGAGACTATGATCTTCAAAATACTGAATATGCGGCGATAACGTTATGTGGGGGATATTCTAAAATTGTCTACCGATTTATCCCGTCTTTAATACCAATATTTTTAATCCTTATCTATACTAATAAAAGAGTAAAGTGATTGACTGACTGACTGATTTAACGATTCATCAACGACCAGACGAAACGGCTGAAGCTAGAATCTTGAAATTTTGGGTGAGGGTCACTCTTGGCTCAAATGTGACAGATAAGGCTGGGTTTTTGGAAATTCGTACTAGAACGGTACGAAAAGTACTAAAAAGTACTATATGTGATACCATTTGTATTCGGCGAACCGGTGGAGCTAGAACTCTGAAATTTGGGTTGGTGGTCGTTGATTGAGTGTAGGATAGATGTCCTAAAGGGTTTTTGGAAATTCGAACTGTAACTATCCGAAAATTACGAAAATGTACTAAATTTGGTACAATTTCGTAGCATGTGAATGGAGTGAGCTAAAAACTTGAAATTGGGAATGCAATTAAGGTTGAGAAGTAGGGTCGATATGAGGAGAGTAAGGAAAAGGTGTAATCATGTGTACGAAAAGTACTATATGGTACTATATTTGGTACAAATTTGATTGGAGGTACAAATCGAGCTGGAATCCTGAAATTTGAAAGTAACATTACCGTCGGAGTGTAGGATTGGGATATGTACGTAGTTTTGGAAATGTTTTACTTATGTGTACGAAAAGTACTAAATCGTACAATAATTGGTACAATTTGGATTTGGGTGAACCGATAGAGCTGGAACAATGAAGTTTGTAGTTAGGATCATTGTAGGGATGTAGGATTAGGGTCAGGATTCAGTTTAAGAAAATAATACTTATGGGTACTAAATGGTACTAAATTTGGTACATTTAGAATTTTAGGTGAACCAATAGAGCTAGAATCATGAAATTTGGAGTCAGCATCACTGTTGAGGTGTAAGACTGAAATATGTAGGAAGTTTTAGAAAATTGTACTAATGTGTACTAAATTTGGTACAATTTAAATTGTGGGTGAACCGATAATGTTGAAATCATGAAATTTTGATTTACGATCACTGTGGGGGTGTAGGGTTGGGGTATTTAGGAAGTTTTAGAAATTTGTACTAAGTGTACCAAATTCGGTACAATTTAAATTGTAGGTGAAGCGATAAAGTTTGAATCCTGAAATTTTGATTCAGGATCACTGTGGAGGTGTAGGATTGGAGTATGTAGGAAGATTTGCAAATTGGTACTAATGTGTACTAAATTTGGTACAATTTGAATTGTGGGTGAACTGATAGAGTTGGAATCCTGAAATTTTGATTTAGAAACACTGTGGAGGTGTAGGATTGGGGTATGTAGGATGTTTTGGAAAGTGGTACTACTGTGTACTAAATTTGCTACAATTTGAATTGTTGGTAAACCCATAGAGTTGGAATCCTGAAATTTTGATTTAGGATCACTGTGGAGGTGTAGAATTAGGGTATGTAGAAAATTTTGGAAATTGGTACAACTATGTACTAAATTTAGTACAATTTGAATTGTGGGTGAACCGATAGAGGTGGAATCCTGAAACTTGGTTTCAGGATCAGTGTGGGGGTATGATTGGGGTGTGTAGAATGTTTTAGAAATTCGTACTACTGTGTACTAAATTTGGTACAATTTAAATTGTAGGTCAACCGATAAAGTTGGAATCCTGAAACTTGGATTTAGGAACACTGTGGGAGTGTAGGGAACACTGTGGGAGTATTACAAGAGTACAAATGGTAAAAAATTACACCAAATTTAGTATAGAGGTAGATTTCTGAGATATAGAGGTAGATTTAAGAACATACTATGGCAGAACATACGTACTAAATTGTTCTAAAATTTTAATAATGGTTGATATAGGGTTTAAATACATCCCACTTTCGCTAACGAAGTAGCGGGTATAAGCTAGTATGATATAAAAATCTTTATATACCTATATAAGTAATAGAATTGTGTGTATAAAATAAATCTTTAAATTAAAACTAAACCTTTTCTTATTCAACTAACGATGGAAATTTTTATTTATTTTAGAAATGATTCTATGACTAAATGCCGGAATATATTACGGGTTAGTAACACATTTCTATCAACATGTTTTTTTTTTTCAATATTTAAAAATATACTCAATCCCAATTTATGAATCATCATCAAATCGAAAATTAATTCATAAACATATATCAATAAATTTCACTGATCCAAAACGAATATTGATATTCTAAAGAAATTGTGGTGAGAGAATTAAGAATGAAACCAGATTTTGAATTTGTCTAGAAAATCGTCAACAACAAAAATATTATAATAACAAAAAAGTATTAACATAAGAACAATATCTAGAAAACATATTTACATAAATTAGTCATAAACGATTTCTTGGAACTATTTTATAAATAACATGTGAATTAAATTTAAAATTTCTTCTTTGTCTTCAATAAGATATTGTGGTTTTTATCTGTTCTATTGGCGACAAACATTCTCCATGAAATTTTGACAAAATTAATTAATCCATCAGGTAAATGTTAAGGAAATAATCAATATTAATTTTGGAATTTCCTGGAAATGATAGCTGGTAATCAATATGAAAAATGCAAAAATAATAAATAAGATGACACACATCGGAACACCGTTGTTTTGAAACATGAAATTGAAATGTAATTTGTTTTACAACGAAACAAAAACAAAACATATCAATTACTGTTCCGATATGAGGAAGACGACACTCCAACAACAAATCAGTTACTGGTTTTTGATGTTTTCTTATTGTTAATAATAATTATTGTAATAATAAATAGTTATTTTTACAAAATATTGAAATGCATAATTAATTATATGCAAGCTTCAACATTGTAAAAAAAGTTAAATAATAGTTGCGGATACTATTATTATTTTTTTATTTGTTAATAAGCAATATTCTATATTACATTTGTATTGGCAATGCAGGTTGATGTTGTAATGTGCACAACGATGTTCAAATTAACACGTTTTTCCCTTTGGCCATTATCCACCGTTTGAAAATATTTATCCCATTTACTATAAGATACAAAATTAAGCCTTAATTCCGATTTTTTTCGAAAACATGAAAGCTTAGTTCTGAAGTGTTTTTCCTATAGAAAAAAATCAAACTTTACATCTAAAGTATTATTTTCTATAGCAAAAATAAAACCACCTCTTTGAATTTTTATTTTAAACTATCTTTGTGTCCGAGGTATTTCTTTCAATATAGAAAAATTATACCTCAGGCCTATAGAAAAACAATTCTCAGTTCTAAGTTTTTTTCTATAGATAAAAATCCAAATTCAGTTCTAAGGTGGTTTTTTTTCTATAGAAAAAATTCAAACCTCATTTATAAGGTGTTTTTTTTCTACAGAAAAAAATCCAAACCTCAGTTCTGAGTTTTTTTTTACAGAAAAAATTCAAATTTCATTTCTGAGTGTTTTTTTTTCTATAGAAAAAATTCAAATTTCAGTTCTGAGTGATTGTCCTGTACACTGGCCTGTTCTACTGTGTCTAAACATACTTCAAATAACTCTCATGTTTTTAATAAAAAACTCCCCATATATAGTTGTATAATCCAATATATGGTTTCCTCAGTATAGAAAAAAATCAAACTCATTTTTAAGGTGTTTTTTCTATGGAAAAAAATCAAACTTGAGTTCTGAGGCGTTTTTATCTATAGAAATAGAAAATTCAAACCTCAGTTCTGAGGTGTTTTTTTTTTTCTATAGACACAATTCAAACCCCAGTTAACCCTCAATTCTGAGGTTTTTTTCTATAAAAAAATTCAAACCTCAGTTCTGAGGTGTTTTTTCCATAAAAAAAAAATTCAAACCCCAGTTCCGAGGAGATTATTTTCTGAGGTGATTATATAAGATTATAAGGCATTTTTATCTATAGAAATAGAAAAAAATCAAACTCATTTTTAAGGTGTTTTTTCTATGGAAAAAAATCAAACTTGAGTTCTGAGGCGTTTTTATCTATAGAAATAGAAAATTCAAACCTCAGTTCTGAGGTGTTTTTTTTTTCTATAGACAAAATTCAAACCCCAGTTCTGAAGTGTTTTTTCTATAGAAAAACATTCAAACCTCAATTCTGAGGTTTTTTTCTATATGTTTTTTCTATAGAAAAAAAATTCAAACCCCTGTTCCGAGGAGCTTATTTTCTGAGGTGATTATATAAGATTATAAGGCGTTTTTATCTATAGGAATAGAAAAAAATTCAAACCTCAGTTCTGAGGTGTTTTTTCTATAGAAAAAATCAAACCCCAGTTCTGAGGTCTTTTTTTCTATATAAAAAATTCAAAGCCCAGTTCTTAGGTGTTTTTCTATACAAAAAATTCAAACCACATATAGAAATAATCTATAGAAAATAATCAGAACTCAGTTCAGAAGATTTTTTATAGAAAATTAATCCTCATTTCTGAGGTATATTTATAAAAAAATCGATCGTTTTTTCCTATAGAAAAAAATCATTGTTCAATCCTCATTTCTGTTCAAACATATTACTTAACAATATACACGTACATACATTTAAAGGTGTATGCATGTGTGTAATTACCACTTAATATTAGAAACAAACAATAGCTATGATGAGGGTGCTAATGAACGATTACACAAAATAATTACAAAATCATTCTATGTATTTTTTCCCATTTGTTGGTTTCATTTAAGGAAGCTATAACATGACCACAACAAATTCGATTTCAATGCAAACTGACAAAAAAAATGACAAGACGACAACATCACATTAGAAGACCGGGCAAACGCGTGCGTCTTATTTTTTTGCATAACGAAAACATTTGTCGGTTATTTTGTTCTTAACGAAAAAAAATATTGATTGACTTGGTGATAAAAAAACAAAAAATACGTTTTTTGTTTATTTGAAAATGGTGAGTAATAAACCGGCTACGAGAACAAATCTCATCTTCCAAACTAACTGAGATGAAGATGCTGTTAGAGAGTATCATCATTAGCTATGTGTGTTTGTGTTGTCGTTATTTTTTTTCAATACGTATTCAGCCATGTGCTAAATTTATTGTTTTTTTTTTTTTTGCTTTTGAATTTACATTTATTCAGCTTGGATTTTAAGCAAAATATCTATATAAATAGAAAGATTTTTAGTATTTCTAAATCATTAACATTTCGCCAGTGAAGAGAATCAAATCGAAAAAAATAAAACAAGTTCGTGTCTCAAGTCTTCTGTTTTAATTACTCGTCACACAACATATAATCAATATGAAGTGTATTTTATTAAGTGTATTTTTGGTGGTTAGTATCTCATATATATTTTTTGTTCTATGCCAATTTAATAAAAAAAACAACTTAAGTGTGAACATGACTGATGAAATCAATAAGTCAATTTAATAGAAATAATAAAAAAAATGTGAAGTGCTGAAATAAAATATTAGAAAATTTCAAAAAAAAAATAATATAAATGGTTAACAGCTTAAAAAGCCAATAAATAATTTGTGAAGATATACAACTTTTTTTCTGTTTTTTTTTTCTGTATACCGGATAACAATTTCCGTAGTGAAGTTAAACGATCACAACTAAAAAGTATTATCTTTCAGGGTCTTCCGGTGAAAATAAGTTTGTAAACAAAACCTTAGCAAAATTGAAATATATCGTGAAAGTAGCACCCGAAACAACTAAATTTCGACAAGACTTTTGTGGGGTTAAACTATCATCCCTTTCTTGCAATTTCAATTTGATGTAAAAATTGAAGTGATTATTTTTATTAATCTCTTTTCTACAGTGTTTAAATATTCTTCAAATAATTGATTTATACAAGCAGTTCACTTTAAAAGACACCTGTATATCATATACGTCATAAACGAAGACCGTAAACATACCTTCCGGTCTAATGTAATATCGACAAAACTTTTTTGGCGGGCAAGCTGTCATCCCTTTTTCTTAAGCGTGCTAATTTTTATAGACATTTTTCTACTGTGTATAAATATTCTTCAAATAAGTTATGAATTTAAAAATGTTTCAAGCTTCGAAACGTAGGTGATCATATTGCTAAATTTATTTATTTTTTTTTTCAATCATAAAAAAGTGAATATAGAGATCCTCTAACTTGCACTATAATTTTTGTAAAAAGATTTGTCTATTGATCCAAAATAGGAGACATATTCAGTGAAGACGCCCTTTATCGACGAAAATGTACTATTGTCGCTGCCGAGCAAGCGGTTATCTCAGCTGCAATTCGAAGCCCAATTTAGTTAACGATATTTCGAAAACTTAACATACCAATCCTTTGTAATTGTTTCTACTGTGTCTAAACATACTTCAAATAAATTTATTGTTTTAACTATATACTCGGTATATGTAGTTGCGTACTCCAATCTTAATTTTCCGTCAATTTTATATCAGTTTGTTTTCACATTACCTCCAACTTAAACAAAATCAGCGTCCTTTAAGATCGAGTTTCACATCCCCGTTAATACATTCTCAAACTATAATATAAATTTTTTATTTTAATTAGATCAATAGACAAAGAAGAAGATAAAAAAAATCCCACAAGATTAACCAATGTTTGCGTCAAAGATCCGGTTCATATTAAATATTCCATTGAATTTTTAATAATTCATATCATGTTGAATGTGTTAACCTTTTCGCGATTTCTTCTTCTTTACCTTGTCGTACTCATATCAAAACCCGTTATATTCTGGTAAATTCTTTATACAGCGGTTAACAACAACATATGAGAATACGAAATTTTTTTAAATCAAATATTTTGACAGTTATTCAAAAAATATGAATTAATAAAAAATGAAACCGAGACATATGTCAATAAAATTGTCATCGCTCGGAATAAGGTGATGTCAAGCTAGCTATCTTCATATGAAAAAATATTTCATTCATAAATTGTTCTATTTATGGAAATGATTTAACGTATTTAACATATAGACCACTTCCACAATCTAGAATGGAGATGAGTAGAAAGTAATAATGTCGCCGTTTATTTCTTTTGTTTTACAATCAATTGAAAACAAGTTTTTGAAAAGTAAAAATTATAATATGCGCATTGGAAAATTCCAAGATATTAATATAAACAATTAAGCGGAAATAATCATAAATAATAATGTTTATTGAACAATTATTATTATTTGTGGAGTGACAGATGATGTGTTTAAATTGTAAATAATGAAATATATTTTTGTTATTAAAACAAACTTGAAATCTATAAAATCAACAATATTGAGATGTTTCAATCTTATAATCTATTGCACTTGGTGACCCACACTAGAGTAATTATCGATTTTCTACATTTTGTTCATTGCAACTGATATCGCATCATCTGTTTTAGAAATAAACAAAACATTAAATGCAAATATATCAAGAATGAGAGAAAATAATTGTTATAAACTTTATTCTATTTTCAATATATTTACATGATTATACATACCAGTTTAGTCCTTACTAATTTGTTACCTATTTGTTTTTTGATATTTTCCAGGTTTTACCCACCGCCCTCTTGGCTGAAAATATTTTCAAAATTAACATCTCACCTGAAGAGGCTCAACAATATATTGCCCAAGTTAGTTCACGTGGCTTGAACACCATTGAATATGCTCCCAAGACCGGTGAAAATCCTCTGCCCGAAGCCCGCAATGAAAAAGGTGAATTTGTCTATATGGGTCGTGTGATTGAAAATCCCAACGATTATGTCGAAGAACACTACGATGCCCATCAATATCATGGACAAGATGGTTTGGGTCAATACGTTTACGGCTATAAGGATTGGAATCAGGGTAAAAACGAAAAGAAAGATGCCAGCGGCACTGTTACCGGTACCTATAAATATGTTCAACCTCATGGTCGTGACTTTATTGCCAATTATTATGCCGATCGTACCGGTTTCCATGTCGAGGATAATCGCCCAGCTCATTTGAAAAATCCACCCACCAAAACACCTGCCGTCAAGAAAGCCGAAGAAGAACATTTCCGTCTCTGGGGTGAATATGCCGCTGCTGCTGGACACAATCCCGATCCATTTGCACCCGAATATCAAACCAGCGAAGGTCGTTATGAACCCCAATCATCGGATCAAGAATATGTCCATCAAGAACCTGAATATGTACCCGGCCCCGAAGAACATGGTGAACCTAAAGGTTTCTACTATGCTTTCGACTATAATGTACCTTTGTTGCGTAACAAGAAGGAACGTGAAGAATTGGAACAATTGCGTGCCATCAACAATAAGGACTAAACGCATTACCAGATTCTAGAAAATGTTTAAGTTTTAATTTATAAAATTATTTATTTTTTAATGTATAATTTTTCCAATTAATTAAATTAATTTATAAACTTTACCGTTTTTACTCATTGAAATACACTACAAATGTACCTCATGTGATTGTAAATCAATTAATAAAATAATACAAAAAAAAAATAATATCGAAAACAAAATAAAAAATGTTTATTTAATTTCCCTGTAGATTGAAAGCCCAGCTTAACGGTTCTGATAGCACTACTGCTCAAATCAGAGATATTACAATAAAATTAAATGTACTTTTTTGTTCTTCTCCATTATTGAGAGGTCCATATTAATGTTTAATGAATTAGATTGCAATAATGCAAAATCAGCCGACGCTCAGCTTTTCGACTAACTTCATTGTTTGTTCCAACTCAATTTGAGTTGGAAGGAACACATACTAATGTCAACGTCCCGCACGGAATCTCTTAAACCCAAGCGGCTCCCAATTTACTACTCTCCCCAAGCAACTCAATGTCATTGACTGCCTATTTTATGTTGGAAGATCCTACCACAGCTAAAACCCTGTCTGGTTGTTTTAAAAACAAAATTACAACTTACTCCAGAAGGCCTCCAAAACGTTCAAGGAGCACCAAAACTCCCATCCATTTTTTTAGATGATAGCTCAGGTTTTTGAATATGAACCTGAAGCCAAATGATTATACTTTTATTCATATAAAAATACATATTAACTTTTGTGTATATATCAGTTTTTGTTTTTATTTTATTACATTTTCTTTTAAGTTCATTCACAATCATATAAAAAGATTAATATATATATAATTTTTGTGTGTTTCTTTTATTATAAGTAAATTAACGCAATCAGTATTTGCTTTTGTATTACGGGTTGATTGGTTGCATTTATTATTTTGTTTTCTTATTTTATACATATAACTTTTTTTGTTTTTAATAAACATTTGTTTTTGTAAATGTACTAAATTTTATTTTTACCTCATTAATTTAAACATAGAGTATTGAAATTTTGATTATTTATTTGCATTCATTGTTTGTTGATTTTTCTTTTCGTTACATACATAATATAATAAATTAAATACTAAATAAATATATATTTATAAAAAAGATACAAAAAATAATAAAACAAAAATAACTAAATAGTAGTTTTGCAAATTAATTGCAATTTATAATAAATCTTTATTATTTTATAAATTATTTTTTATATTAGCTGCACACATGATGTTCTTAAATTAGCTGCCTATGATGAAGAAGAAAATGGAAAATGAAATATTGTGGGGGAATAAAAATGATTGTATTTTGAAAATGTTTAAGTTTTATCTTTTACATTTCAAATATATGGCCTCGTTGATTAACAAATCCTAATGAATAATGATATCCATCACATAATTTCCTAAAATAATTGCCAATTTTGTATATTCAGTATTACAATGCAGTTTTAGTTATAAAATGTCAAGTTGTCATTATTATTTTCTTTTAACATATTTTTCCTTTATACTGCACTGTAATACTAATTTCTAATATGTGGTTTTAAAACAGATCCATTATTACATTCATTGCAGATATAATTCTCAAGTCAAGACACTTGAATTGCTCCTCACAAATATAAGATCCAATCTTGTATATAGCGGGGTAAAGAGGGCCTTGCCCTACTAAAACCCCCAATACAGTGTGATATTTAAAAAAATAATATTTGAATACAAATGTAAAACGATCAAGTTTCGTTTATTTTGTAATAATTACAAATTTTGTTCAAGTCTTATTTCCTAATTCGTTTTCCCCATAACGGGGATTTACGAATATTAAGAAAACCGAAACAAGACAATGTTAATCTCGGACTATACAGTTTAGAACATGTCTATATCTAAGGAATAACATTAATTTGGGAAATACAAAATCCTGAGATGGTAGCAATACTTTTACATCTCGTTTACAATAATTAAGAGCAATCAAGTTTATACTTAGCTATAATCTTAGAATACTTAATCGATAAGAATTAAAAGCGTAATAATATTTTCTAATTATGAAAACAAAACAAAAAAATGATTAATATGTGATTCTAATAATGAGTCACAATAAATGTAGTATTTACATAATTTCGCAAGCACTACGCGATGTAGATATAACTGACTATAAAACATATTGAAAATATTGTGTAATAAGTTTTTGTGTTAACAGAAAAGAGTATTGAGTGATATCAAGATTTAAGAATTTTTGTTAGAATTAAGAATTATATTATAAATACGGAAAGGAAAAATAAAGAAGTCAGACTAGTGCTGACATCCATCAAGCTTGCTCTATCAGCAAGCCAAAAAAAGTAAAAGGTATTTAATTACATGGCGATCCTGCCAAATCTTGCTCTCTAGTCAGGAAGTATCCTGCGTTCCATCCGCAGTTAAAAAAAAATCAGATCCTGCGTCAAGCCGCAGATCCTTGCTAGAAATTTTTGAAGACACTGCCATACTGTCCGGGCAGTCCGATCCAAGCCGTGGATCGTGGATAAAAAAACACTTAATGTCGGGACCGCAGCCACTAACCATAGATGGATATAGGAAGAGAAACAGGCTGATTAGGACAGAGGATGAAATAAAGATCCCGAAGGTGAGCAGACCAAGGACGAGAGGAGGTTACTTAATCGATAAGAATTAAAAGCCTAATAATATTTTCTAATTATAAAAACAAAACAAAAAAATGATTAATATGTGATTCTAATAATGAGTCACAATAAATGTAGTATTTACATAATTTCGCAAGCACTACGCGATGTAGATATAACTGACTATAAAACATATTGAAAATATAGTGTAATAAGTTTTTGTGATTTTCAGTTTGAAAACAAACCTCTATCGTCAATAATTTGCTATACAATTATGCAAAAAAGATGTCTACTAAAAAGTGTAGGGAAGTTCCATTTGAGAGTATTGGTTCCCATTGGAACCTTTCTACTCTCGCTGCCTTTCGAGAGCGATAACAGTTTAGTGTTTAATTAGGAGGTGTTAAATGTTATTTTTTTGTGAGGAAAAAAGATATGTAAGCTAACATTTAAATGGGCAATAATATTTTGTGATTTTGCATTTAGGGTGCGACATGAGTGTCTAAGGCTTTGCCATAAATCCATTATTCATTACAATTTGTACCACATATTACACTATATTTCATGTTTTTAATATTCAGTTCTTTGACAGAATTGTCAATTAGGGATATGATGGCAGTATGTCGCCACTTCATTCCCCTATTAATAAAAATAAATATAAAATTTCTATTTTTGCTTGTTTAAAAATAGATCTCCTCCCTTTTTAGGGGGAGGGTGGGTTTTGTTAAAGCAACTATCATTAAAGATTGCTTTGTTAATATTGAATAAATATACAATCCGATAAACAATTGTCATTCACTTTATACAGATCGAAAGTATTCCAATATCGATTAGCACTAACGGTAATAATATTTTGTAATTTGTTTTTCTTTTTTTAATAATAATAAATTTCTATATATTTCACAAATATATTCAATATATCTCAATAGAAAGAATAAATGATTTTACTTCATTGCATAGCCAATTGCATTTTAAATCAAGCGAGGAGAGAAAAACTTCCTCATTTTGTTAAAGTGTTGTAACGCTTTGATGTTTATATCAATTTTATTCTAAACTTTTAATATGCTTGCCTATAACTATTTCTTGCTAATTACCAATTAATGGCTAATCAATAAAGAATTTTTGTATATTGTTCAGTCAATGATAATGAAGAAATCCACACTTTAAAGTGTGGATTATTTCTTTTTCATACATTGTTATATTCAGACTTCGAAATAGCAATAAAACATTTCGAAGGTGTAATTAGTAATCAGTTGTACGACAAGAATAGATGTTTTAATTATTCGAGCATTTGAAGAATGTTTAGACACAGTAGAGAAAATTTGCAAAAGAATGTGCATACATTAATTTGCTAAATTATGGGATTAATTCAAATCGGAATTTCCAAAAAAAAAAAATCATTTACGTAAAACGAAGTAAAGGACCGTAGTAAAAATAATCAATTTTTGTTCTCAATAAAGAAGATTTGTATAGTGAAATTATTTAAATAAAGAAAAGATTTAAAAATGCGAAAAAATTTAATATTAAGGAAAAATTACGTGGTTAGGATCGATCGTATGATTGCGACGATAAGAAACCAAAAGTAACAGAAGGTTATAGTGGAGATTTGTCTCCACTCAACTTAAAAATAATCAATTTTTGTTCTCAATAAAGAAGTGTTGCATAAAGATATTTTTCAAAAAAAATTGTAAAAACAGAAAAGAATTAAATAAAATGTGAATAAATTAATTTATTTTTTTTTTTGGAAGTTTTAAGGAACAATTGCATGATCAATTACAATACAGGTAATCGACTACTAAAGATATATAGGATACAATTAGTAAAGCTGAATGGCGATAGCAGAACACAACGTGAAAAAACTTCAGAAACAGTTTTAAGTAATACATAATGCAAATTTTTAAATATACGAAACTCTCACTGGACTCGATGATCCCAGTGAGAGGGGAAAATGACACGTACATGTTTTGACAATGCACAAATAGCCAATTATACAATATATAACTAAATCAATTGGTAAGATAACATTCTGTTTCTATAACGACGCGAAATGGAGTAACATCATTATGTGATATCTTACTTTTCGATTTAGCTTCTGTAATTGAATTTAGCATTGTCTTGTAAAATGTTAAAAATAATCAATTTTTGTTCTCAATAAAGAAAATTTGTAAAGAATGTAGTTTATGATATTAACGGAGAAACTTCGAAGAAATGTGAATAACAAAATTACTACAGCCTATGAGTCTTAAACAAAATTTGTAAGAAATATATGCAAATTTAATGTATGCCGGGCTAAAAGGAAAAAACATGCTGCAGCAAGTACAACATTTAAAACTTCATAGCACACCTCTTACAATAATTCATATTGCTTTCGCTAAGCTTTTGAGTGATAATTTAAACATTTATTTATAAATCAACTGTTAAAACGAATCAATTTTTGATCTCAATAAAGAAATTTTATATAAAATGCTAGGATACACCAATAAACAAAGACACAAAACAATTCTTTGTTTATATGTTCTAAATTTATGTAATATGCTTTACAATGAATCTATAGCAATAGTTCATTAATTAGAATTTATTTTTAATTTTTCAGCATTAAAGCAGACAAGAAACTCTATGCACTACGACTTCTTGCCTATGACATATATAGGTTAAATGTTTTTTTTTTTATCCGACAATATGTTGCACAACATGAATCTTATGATTATTTCATTGGTATATTCTATAATATTGCAATATTTTCATTAGTTTAGTTTCTATAGTAAATCAAATTGCTACTAGTACAAATATCCTCAGAGTTGGAAAAGTTGCAAAAATTTATTTCTATGGACGATATTTTTTAAATATGTTTAAATCAAATTATTTCCTGTATGAATAGAGAGATTTTGTATGAAAAATAGACACATTTTATGATTTTCACAAAATTTTGAATAATATATAAAATGTGTACTTATATTGACGTTTATTGAAAATATTTCAAAGATGCAATTTTATAACGAATTATTAATATTATGTTGAAGAGGACATAATATACATTTTTACAAGTTATTATGCAATTCTTTTATAGCCTATGATATTAAAGATCACGTTAATTTTGTACAACATTGTTTTATTTTACCACCAGACGAATAGAACATTTTGTCTGGTGGTGGTATTACATATAAACAATATTAAATATTGACTTTGTAATTTGGTTTCAAAACACCTGTTATACGAATAGATGACACATTGTATAACTTCATAAAATTCGCTATTGTATGAATTGTAATTTCGATCAGAGTGATCTGCGTTTCTCCTGATGCTTTAATGTAATGTAAATGTTTAGTGTACACTTGATATCGAAAGTATACAAACGTATGGGTACGTAGTAATTTGAAAAAATGTTTTTCGAATAACATTTTTCTTAGTTTTTAGTACTCAAATAAGAAATTTTGTATTAAAAGCGTTAGTATATGACTTAAACTATTCCTAAAAAAACAAAAGGAATAGTTATAATGTTTTATATAATATTATTACAAATATTATCAAGGAATAATTCAACATCTACTTGAAATTGCGTTAAAATATTCGTTATAGTAGAAAATTGTGGAGTTTATCACGAATTCTTATAATAAACTTATTTTGCGATCTCAATAGAGAAAGTTGTATAAAAATATAGACTGATAATTTGTATATAAGGTTAGCCCATTTATACTAATATTTCACGTGTAATTCAGTAAAAATTCAATTTTGCCGCCATGAGAATTTAAAACCATTTGTAATGTAAATTCAGACAAAAAAGCAAGGATTTTTAACATAGTTCGATTGAATCGTATAGTAAATAAAGAACGTTTTAAGGATCTTTTAAGGGAGAATCTGAGCATGGATACTTTGTTCTAATGCTGTGACAAGTTTCAATTTATTTATGCTCAATAAAAAGGGCCGCCGCTATATTTATTTTAATTCGGAAAGGCAAAGTTGTTTTATATTATTGAATTACACAAGTGACTTATTTAGTATATTAAACAATTAAAGTTTTCGACAAGACATTTTATGTATGTTAGCCAAAACATTTCAAACAAAATTTTTTTGGAAAAAAATTACAAAAATCATGTCGAAATCTCCAATCATAACTAAAGTTTGATTTCATCCAATATCTATTATAATAAAATAATACCTTTATAAAAAAGGACCTCATTCCTATTATCAAAACTAAGGAATGGTTATTTATATGATTTATATTGACGGGTAGAAAATGTCAATGAAAAAACTTGACTGTATTCTCATAGTTTATTTTATGATTTCAAAAACGATATCATGTTTCTAATAAACACGTTAGTACCTTTGTCAATAAGGTACCTCATTCCTAGCAAATAATGCCGGAATGGTTTTTTATTTTATATAAGAAAGAATCTATTTGAAAAATTGAGAGGATTTTTTTAAGGATGTATTAACTTGGCTATGTGTTCCGTCCAGTAACAGAGAAACAACTTCTCATTATTGGAGTCGTGCACTAATTGGATCTGTTTTAAAACACACTCTTAATTTTAATAAATTTCAGTGGAAATGGTGATTTAAAAATGTTTATGTCAAACTAAAAATGATCACATAAATAAAAATTATACAAAATGGCAAAATAGTTGTAAATATGAGCTTAATTGTTGTAATGTTAAACAATTACAAAAACTGGTCAATAATTCCGTGAGTAAAGTATATACCCGATAAACAAGACTTTAACAGTAAATATGAGTCGAAACATAGATTTATATTTATATTCAGCTTTAATGAAGAACTTTTCATACTTAGGTGGTTCAAGAGTTGTTTTCGAATGGATTGCTGGCCATACATTGTCTCCATCGCTATAGCTAAATTCCAGTCCAATTCTGAGAGATGAAAATTGATGATAGCAGAATTCAGAGTACTCACGAAGTAATTGATCTGTCCTTATGGTATACATACAATTTTATAAGAAATTTCTTCACAATATTGTTATTTCTTACTTATAAAAATCTAATAAAAATCCTATAAATTTAGATAATTTATAAGGAATTAAATTTTTACATAAAAACTTAAAAAATTAAGCTCATATTTTATATACAACAAAATATAAATTTCGTTTCCCTTTCTTTTTTGCATCAATGAATTGTAATGGAAAATTTCAAACTCTATTTGTTTATTGCTTTTTGTTTGTTAATTATCTTAGTTTTTGTTACTTTATATAATGGCACATTTTGTTTGTGATAGTTTTGTGTTTTGTTTTTAATACTGTTCTAAATACGGATAGAGAGTTGGGGATTGAAAGTGTTAACGAATGTGATTCGAGAGACAAGTGTATGGAATTTTGTTTATGTTTAATAAATATTAAATTTAAATGTGATGAAGTGTTAATAACATTTTAATTAAACGAATTTTCTTTTCCAGAGGTTTGGAAATTTAAGGAAGTGTTAGGCCAACAAACACCCCTTTGGAATAGTCACAAACCCTTGAAAAAGTTCACAAAATTTGATTACAAAAATTTATGCTATACTGTGAACAATTTTTTGTAAAAAATTCTTTTTTTTGTGTTTTGTATTTCTAACTGTTTTTTTTTTTTCTACCTTCTGCATTTATATATTGTATATCAAAAAACTGTTGTTGTATATATTCCAAGTCTTGGTCAAAAAATGCGTTTTTTGTTTGTTTTGTGTTTCATTTCATTTTCTAAATATGCAATTTTCTATGAAATTGAATTGACATTTTCCTATAGTATTGTTGTTTTTGTTTAAACTTTATGAAAATGTGTTTGTGTGTGGTGAATGGTTTTTGTTACAGGTGTTTATGGTGGGGCGAGAAATAGGCATTAAAGACAACAAATAAAAATAAAATTCGATTATTTTATACATCTTTAGATGTACATTTTGTCAAAATTAAAAATGATTATTAATAATAATACAACACATAGTAAATAATGTTTAGAAGTAAAATACATAATAAGCAAGTTGGAGGTGGTGGTAATTGTGGTAATGTATTAAAACAGAACCTATAGATTGAAGACCTAAAGGAGAAGCAGGTGATTAAACAGCAATACATTTTTAAATAGAAACGATAATCTAACGATTAAAGAATATCAATTCTAAAAAATACCTTAAGATCTTTGAACTTACGTCTGCCATCAGCTACTCCCTCAAAGACGGTCTGCATATAAAAAAGTTACTGGCTATTTCATAAAATATCTTCCGATGGGTTTTTGAGGGGGGAACAGTTTTGAATTGGCTTCCGAGTTGTCCTATTAATAGTACATAATATACATTGTTATAATGGGGTTTCGAATTTCTACAAATTTTATATTCTCACTACACCTCAAATCAGAATCGAGAATACATTGGAAGATGTGAATAAGAAAATTTGAAAAAAACGTTTGTGTATAAAGAAATCTGAATTGAACAAAGTTCCATAGGCTTTGACTTTCCATCATAATCATTTTGTTGTTCAAGCAAACATAAAATCACCACAACTCACTACCACCACCCTCAGTGTCTATGAAAAATGAACGTTGATTTGTTTTTGCTTTACCTTACTTATGAAAAAAATAATGAAAATGTATAATACAAATTTTACAAGAGGGATGTATGTAAATAAGTTTCGTTTTGTTTTCATCTTTACAACATATATATCATACCTACTAAAGTACACGGCCACATTTGAAGATAGGTTGGTTAGGAAGAGAAGTGTGCAAATGTGCAATAAATTTGTTTGATTTTTTTAGCTACACATCTTAGCTAAATAGCTGTCATTTTATGGTTGCTCTTTTGTCCATCCTTGTCCTTGGCGATAGAATTGAATTTACTTCTAATGAACACCAACGCCAGTATTGTTATGGCTATTGTTGGAGGTTGGTGCTGGTGTTGTTGTTGTGGCGGCAGATGACGACGACGAGGAGGATGCATTCTTATCGATATGATGATTTAAATCCAATTTTTGTACCTCACATTCCAATTGTTGTAGGCAATTATTTTTATTGAGGTGATTATTGGTTGAGTCTGGATGTTGTGATGTGGCACCACCACCACCAGATGATGGTGCCATTGTGTTATTGGCAGTGGTTACTGTTGTTGGTGATGTTGCTGAGGTATTGATCAGTTCTTTTTGTTGTTTTTCATCCTGATGGTTTGCCGCGGCAGAGGCGGCGGCTGCAGCCGCAGCTGCTGCTGCCTGTGATTTTTTGTCCTTGGACTTTTTCAAAGCACTTAAAAGTACATTTTTTTCTTTATCCTTTGTTTTGCCTTCTTTATCCTTATCCTTGTGTTTATTGTTCTTAGTAAAACGTGGAAATATACAACCGTTTGGCAAGAAACCACCAAGCTTTTCTTTTTTGGTAGTTGGTGGTGGAACAGGATTCGCAACGGCAGGTTGTGCTGCTGTTGTCGTTGTTGTGGTTGACTGGGCGGCAGGGTTGTTGGTTGTGGTATTAGTGGAGGGAGTAGTGGTAGTAGTGGGAGGTGTTGTTGAGTTATGACTATTCTTCGCAATGTTATTTGTTATCGAAGTACAGTTAACACTCTCTGTTGCTGTGTTGCTGTTTGGTGCAGTTGTCTCCGTGGTATTGGCATTTGTTGCTGAACCACCACCACCAATACCATTGACAGCTCCATTGGATATAATTTGCGTTTTACTATCCAAATTATTTGCATTCAATTGGTTATTTAACTCATTCTTTTGTGTTACACCAGCAGCACCACTATTCGAATCTGTGGCATCTTTGAGAGTATTTCCATTGCTTGCCGTTACCATCAGCATATCGTGTGATGTGTTATTTTCATCTCTGTGATTTTCGGCGGTTATTAGTTGGCTGTCGCCAGTGACGCCCGTTGCAGCAATCTTATTATCCAAATGTTCAGCCAATTGTGCGAGATTAATTGGTTTCGTTACATCTACATCGTTTAACGTCGCATCATAGTTTTCTTCATTTCTTTGCAGCTCTTGTTGCATTAAAAATTTTCTACTTCTTGGTGGAGTGCTACTACTACCATCGCCCATAAAGTTACCACCGGCATATCCTCCTTTAGAGAACATATGCTGTTGTTGGGTTATTGGTGTTGTGTTATTGCTTAGACCAGAATTTAACGAACCACCAGGAGAAGGAACACCTCCTCCTCCTCCATTTGTGGTTAAATTATGATAATGTTGTTGCTGCTGTTGTTGCCTTTGCTGCATCATTTGCTCTTCACGTTCACGATCTCTTTGAGCCTGTACCGCATTCCAAACATCTTTTAGTTCACCGGATATATCACGATCCTTAAGTATGACAGCATTTCTGAAAAAAGACCAATCATTTTTGTTAAATAAGAATAGAATGAAAATTCAAGCATAGTAATGCATTTCTAAATAAATTAATGTATTTCTGTTCTGTATGAATAAAATATAAATATATATGAACATGATCACTGTAAAATATAATGCCGTTCAAAAATTCCAAGCCTTGTTCAAAGCTTGAACATAATGACTTCGTCCATTAAAACAATAATAATATATTAAAATTTGCTGTTTTTTTGCTATTGTGTGAGTTACAGGGTGTTAAAAATGGAAGTGAACAATTTACAGGTTTTCTTTGACAAAGGCGAAAATGCAAGCCAAGCGGCTAAAATTGTGAATGGCGTTTATGGTTCCGATACTCTAACAACCAATTTTGTGCAATTTTGGTTTCGTAGACTCCGTTCAGAAATTTTTGATATTAAAGATGCACCTCACACAGTTAGGTCGGTAGTCGAAAATACCCAGAAGCTAAAAATCGACCTTAAAACTGTTTTTAATAATTTACAATTGGCCAGAAACGGTCAGAATAGTCCAAAAGGAGAGGTGTCGTGTTCCACCAGACAACGCTAGGCCACACACATCTACAATGACTCCCCAGACACTTCGGGAGTTGGTTGGGAAGTTTCACACTCATAAGACGATCAATAACTCATATAAAAAAACCTGTAACCGAGCAGTGCTAGTGTGAATATATGGTCACAGCCCATAAATTGATCCTGTCGATTATCCTTATAAAAAAAAAGAATACAAACCAAATTTTTGGATTCAGTGGCCCACAATCTATTGTTCTTCTTATATATTTCCCGCCATATATGTATGAAACCAACCACAATAATGGAAAAAATGCGGCATGTTGTTGTCACCAACAATAAGTGTCATCATCGATCAACTTAAATGAAAAAAATATGACATAGCATATTATGTTGGCTTATTAAGGTTGTTGACTGATCGATATGTACTGTCGAATACTAAAAATATGATATGAATGAGTGGCGCGCACAGCAACTTTTCATCATAAAATGCTTGAGAGCAAATGTGTGTTCAACAGGAAATTTCTCATTAAAATATATATGTATGCAACAACAACCTTGTTAATGACGATATGAGCCAAATTTTAGCATAAGAATGTAGTTCTTTCTCTTGTGCAAGGCAAATACGGAACACGTTTTTGGCAACAATTTTGAAAATATTAACTAAAGATGCATAGATTTGCATGTTAGCCAGTCATTCATAAACATTTATGTTGGCCGTGCATTTAATTAAGTCATGAAAACAAACAAAACAAGAACACATTAATTAAAATGCAATTATTTATAATTATCACACACAAATAAAATTACTGTGAAATTTTGCCAAAACAAAAATAATCAAATGGGAAATCCCATTTTATATTTTCGCTCACATACAATTATAATAAACATTATTTAATATACATTTCAAAACAGCGGCAAAACACAAATTTGATAACTGAATTCTTAGCAGCCGACAATTGCATTTATTTATTATATTTTAATTGCTCTAGAGATAACTTTTGGTGTTGTTTAATTTCGTCTGACACGTTGTGTTGCGCCGTTTTCGGAATATGCCAAAATATCTAAAAGTATGACAAGTGATGGTTTTCAATTTCGATAAAATATTTAAAACAGATGCTGTCAAAACATTGCAAATTAATATGGGATGTGAAAAATACCATTGGGTATTAAGAGTCGATTTATAAACTAAACAAACCGCAAACCAGGTAAACATGTGAATGTTTGTATGTAGATAGATGAGACTCTTTGAAGGAAAATTCTTTGGCAAAGAAATCAGCGCCAAGCAATAACAACATCAACAACTGTTAGACTAATTATAGCATATACGTGCGCCAATGGAATGCCATGGGTTCAATAATGTCACTTAAAGTACTTGAGGAAAAGCATAGAAGAATTGTGTTGACACACACATATTGCATTGACATCACATGCCATGAATCTTCGTATAGTATGCTGTCTGCAACACTTAAAAAAGACTATAATTAATACGATTTGGTTTCCACTTCAATTAAAGTGTTTTCGATGGCAAGTGTTCAAGTAAATGAGTCGTCCCCGCCATCGTCGTTGTTGTTTTGATCGTTGCTAGACTATTGTTAGACACACGCACATATGAGCTGTCCAACTGAGAAAAAAATAATGTGCCAATGTATGTATGTAATTTGAATATATGTATATATAATTCTTGGTAAATTTTCTTTTCACAAAACAACAACAACAATAGAAGCAAAAAAGAAAGGAATGATACAAATGTTAAAGATCATGCTGAATATAGCTGGGGATGAGTCAATTTTTTTTTGTTTTAAATTTTTAACTCTAACTCACCACATACATACATTTGGAAGGAAACTGTTCTCCTAGATGATACATAAATATTTATATGTAGAAATTCAAAATACCAGACAACATTGAAGTGATATCGCATAACTTTTCTATTACAAAGTAATGCACGATAAATTTTTGAATATTTTTAAAATGGTCTATTTCACAATGAAACAATTGTTATACTATTTACGAAGGGAGGTTGGTGATTTGCCTCAAAACATTTGCGAATATAAAAGTAAATAGAACAAAAAGAAAAAAACACAAACAATTTTTATTATAAAATATTTGAAAATATGATAGGAAGTTGACAAATTTTCCAATATCAGCAAAGCCATTTCGTCATCCGAAAAATGCAATAGGAAGCACATGAAATAATTTATTACATTGAAATGAAAGTATGAGTTTGACTTAGTATGCGGTTTTGAATATTTATTTTTTTCAGATCTGAAAAAAGTGCTCGCCAATTTTTAAAGCATAAAACAAAAATATAGAGAAGCTGGTTGGTCACAATCATCGGTGTTTTTGAACCGTAAAGAATATTGTATTGAATCAAAAAATAGAGCGGGGAATTTTATAATAAAGTCTAAAGAATTGGCAACGACGTTGTTGGCCGATCCGATTTTAGATGATTTGACATAAGCTGTTATATTTAATATCTCTTCAATTAGTCCTCAGTAGAAATATAGGTTGACATATTAACTCGAATCTAGACATTTACGTGTCTTAAGAATATGATTTGCCAATGATCACCACGATAATAGGTTCCGTCAGGTGTTGCAGGAGACAAGTGGTCCTGGTCAGAATCTTGAATACATAGGTTACCCATAATTTAACTGATCTCTAGGATCTGGATCTCGATCAAAATTATTACACATTACATTGTGAAAGAATATATCAATTGGAAAGTTTTGCTACATCCTTAAAAATTAAAATCGGTCCCTTACTTATAAACTTATCTGGCTTATGACAAAACGGTTGTCGAGTTTAAAAAGGATTTTCATCTCATCCAATTTGAAAGACAATTTTCCGATATGTTGTCTTCTACTTGATCTTTCCATCGGATTCGTGGCCTTCCCGTTCTGCGTGAACCATCACATGGCTCGCTTTTATATGCCTTTTGAGCTGGAGCTCCGTCATCCATTCTCACAAGATGACCTAGCCAACGTAGTCGCTGAAGCTCGTTCCGTCTGACTCTGTCGATGTCCGAGAATAAATAGATGGTATAGCTCATGGTTTATTCGACGGCGATATTCACCATCGACGCAGATCGGCCCATAGATCTTCCGGAGAATTTTTCTCTCAAACGCTACAAGAGCTGTCTCATCTGCTTGCGCAAGTACCCAAGGTTGAAATAAAAAATCATTCAACAACTTTTCAAAATTTTCAGTGGAAAATCATTTTGGAAGGAAGTAAAATGGACGAAAGTATTTTGAACGCCAAAGCCGTCAATGTTGAATAACTTATTTTAAATTTTTCCTTCCGTCTAACTTATATACATATTTCCAAAACCTCGTGTATGTATATGTCGGCATTGTAAGGAAACGAAGTTAGTGATTACACACATAACATACATATGGAATGGGTGCCTATATACACACATAATTCACATTTCTGCAGCAAAAAAATACCTGCTGTGAATACAGACAATACTCGCAAATTGAAACCAAATATAAAATTGTATTGTGAAATGAGTTATGAGGAGCCTTCAGATTAAAAAAAAAAATGATTAAAATTAAGTCGGATTGCTTTTATATGAATTTAAAGGCAAACAAAAAATTTTATATTGAGGGGTTGTTTAAATTTTTGCCAGTATATGACATGGCGGCGTTGCACGCTTCATTTGCGTTGCAGGTACACATAATACTGCTCATATTCCTTAACGAAGAAACGAGTCTTGTCTTTTGCATTTATATTCAGCGGGAAATATGTCATATCAATTAACGTTTGATAAGGGTTTACAACATTTCTTACAAGTATAGCTTAAAAACTTAATTAAGTACATACATATATGTGGATTTTTTTTTTGCATACATTTTTGGCGAACTAACAGGGCGTTGTCTTTGTATTTTAGATATAAAAATGTATGTATATATACGCAATAAATAATGCGCATCCTTTGTACTGTACAGTATCATTACTTACTTACCTTACTAATTTTACACCAGGATTCATGGCTTCAACAAAATCACACATTAATTCAACCATGGCACGTCTTTCTTCTGGATCTTTACTGTGACGGCCGGAATCTTTTAATACTTCTGGATTGGCCATAACAGCGAATACAATGGGTGGACTACGAGGACTGCCAGGCGGTACCTTGAAAACAATATATACATACAGACAAATTAGATATATATTTTGAAACAAAATGTTATATGTGATCTAAGAAAAATTGATATTTAAGAACTTACCCTCATACCGCCATATAATGGTATAGGATCACTGGGTTCCTGAGGTATAACAATACGTGTCCAACTTAGCACATTAATAAATAACTCCTCACCGGCCTCCGTTGTTGTACGTATACACATGTGCGGCTGAGGAGGATTCTTAAAATGTCGATAGGCACGCGAATGCCGATAACTGTGTGGTGGCGGCGATGATGCAGCAGCTGCTTGCAATAAACTTAACCCGGGACTCATTTGCTGGTGATTGGTGACACCCAAAACGTCTTCCCGTTCCAAAGATCCGTTTGCTGAATTTTCGTTTTGATTAAATGTGTCTGCGTTTTCTAATGGCGCCATTGTGTTTGACTCATCTTCCATCGCCACATCATGCTGATGAGGGCTACTTTTATTGTCATTCAGCTGGCCACTATCAGGAACTTTATGGGGGCTTTTGTTGGAATCTGCCAGAAATATTGTGTCTTCCTTGGCCGTCGCTGCACATGTTTGCACCGGCTTTTGTTGCTGATTTTGTTCCTCCGATAAATGCACCAATGAAATTTGCTTTTGCTGTAGGTCTGTATCCGTCGACGTTAGATAACGAAATGAATTCGACATATTGGAGAATTTCTCAAAGTCCCCGTTTGTTTGGTGTTGATTTATCTGATACATATACACATGTATACAAATTGTGGTGCACACACACTCACAGGCATGTGCTGGTCAAGCTACCACCACCACCTCTGGTGACAAGCAGCGCAGAAGCCTGCCGTGCTAGCAAAAAAACAAGACAAAGAGAAACAAACACAAGCACTCACACACAGGTAGAGGCAACAAGAGCGAGAGAAACAGTGTTTTTATCTTTTCAACCAATTTTTCGTAGATTTTTGACACTTGCTTAATAATTATATTAAAATTATTGTTCATTCATTTAAGCACCATTTCCTGTTTAACAAAAAGAAAATAAATTCAATTTATTTATATATTTAGTATTATTTATAAATCAATTGCACAGCCGGCCTGTTTACAAAAATGCTTCTTCTTTGTTTTGTGGATTTGTGTTTTTTCTATGGGGTATGTTCAGTGTGCGATGTCAATGTTCACAGTTGTAATAAAAGAGTAGCAAGAAATTTGCAAAAGCAAACTCCTACCACAGCGCCCCTTTATTGGTAAATATATTTCTTTTTTTTATTTACTTAAAGATTGATTTATTTTTTATAATAAATGAACACTATAATTTATTAAAAAAACGATTTTTATCACTTTAATTTATTAACTAATTTTAATTGGAAAGCATTACCAACCACCATTGCTCTTTTACACTGTTCCTCACTTCAACACTCCACTTTGCACTGCTGGTGGATTCATTCAGCCTTTTACACAAAGTTCAAAAGTCCTTTAATGTGTCATTTGACATTTGCCATTTTTATTCTACATTTTCTCCCTTACAATTTCACTTTTACACAGGCCATTAACATTAAATCACTCTTTTTCTTTTATTACCTCACACTTCAATATAATTTCGTTTTTAAAATAATTGCTTAATTTTCGATATGTAGTTCCTTTGTCTGCTGTATGCAAATTAGGAATAACAGGGAAAATGAAAATTTAACACTTTTAGGGTTATGGAATATTATCTTTTGAACAACACCTTGTCGAAAATCCTTTCCAGGTATTTTAATATAATCCGGTCAGATTTTCTGATATTTTTGTTGTTGTTGTGTTAAACGATAATTACAGGTAAAACACAAATTTACATCTGCTGTCCACCAACAACACCCTTCTTCTCTTCTATGTCATTGATTGAGGAAGCGAAAAAATTCCACTCTGTTGTAAGCGTTTCTCGTTTTATTACTGCCACCACTGCTGTGCTGCAGTGGCCACAATTGAAAAATGAAATAATTACGGAAAAAAAATTAATTTTAGAACTTCTGTTTTGTTCCTTCTTGTTGTTTTGTGTTCAAGTGCTTTTTGTACTTTACATCAACAACACTGACTGGCATCATCAGACGTTGTCCGCTGTTTGCAGGCCGACCAAACGACCGACTACTTGCTCCCGTTTTCCAATTTATTTTCTTCTACTTTTCTTTACAAGAACCAACAACAACATCAAAGCACACATAAACTGGTCCGGTTTTTCTCACATCATTTGGTTTGGTTTCTACACAAAAAAATGCACGCACGCACCACACACTATTCTCGGGAATTGAATGGGACTTGATTCTTGTTGTTTTTTGTTTTATTATTTCTTTTCTTTGTGTTTTTTAATGTTCGCTCATTTAGTCAGTCATTGGATTGCATTCTATGCTGAGATTTTCCTATCCTGCCTTCCCTCTTCCTCCTCACCCATCCATTCAACAAATGCATTCTTTTTCGTTGTTGTTGTTTATTTTATCATCCCACAGACAGACATTTAAAGTTTGTTTATTTTTGCTGTAAGAGCTTCAATTTTCTTTCTTCAATTCATTTTCCATCTTTTGTTTCTTTGTATCCCAGGAGGAATTGTGAAACAACTCCACCGCACACTAAATAAACATTTCTATTTATGTAGTCTGTTTTTATGGAGTCTTCGTAGTTCGTTGGTATTGTACCGAGAAGTTTTTCCATGCACTTCCTACGCAGTCTTCCTCCACTCAATAATAAATGTTTCTTCTCTTTTGTCTGGGCCACAAAAACAGCAACGATATTTTCTGAGAGTACACACACAGAGCACTTTTTGACATTTAATGTTTTTCGATGGAAATTTTAAATTAGAAAAAACATTTATTTTATTTTTACATTCAAATGTTTACCGCTATATTTCTTGACACACACACTACAAACTAATTGTTTTTAAATTAAAAATGCAAAGGAAATGCGTAAAATTAACGTTTTCAAGCCCCAAATTTAGCCAATTCTGGAACGGACTGAAAACGAACGACGACTGCAAAAATTGAAAAACGTTCCACCTGCTAACGAATGGGAGGAGAAGACAAAATGGCCGATAAAAATGAACGAACGACGACTGAAAAAATTGAAAAACGTTCCACCTGCTAACGAATGGGAGGAGAAGACAAAATGGCCGATAAAGATGAACTCAAAATGGAAAACCGTGTTGTTTACGAATGAGGTTTAGACAAATTATGATTAGGGATAAGTAAATCGACTTTCGATTAATCGACTTTTTGTATTGAAAAGTCTAATGCCACCATGTACAGACGAGCGTTGTTCCCTCTCTCATTCGTGGTTCGACCCTTAATTATAAAGTAATTACATAGTTCCCCATACAAAATTGTCTGAGCGAACACCGACTTTTGTACGTTGTTCAATTCGAATCACTCTCTGAATAACCAAGAAATTTGTTCCATCCCAATTCGCTATGCGAATTACATTAGGGATGTCAAAGTCGACTTTAGACTTATCGTTTATCGAATTATATCGTAGCAAGACAACATTGGGTAATTATGGATTTTATAGCAAGTTGTATAAAACCGATAAAGGGAAAACACATAAAAGCCGGGGATGTGAGGCATTGAATATAGGCATTTTGCGAGTGTGACAATAGTTTTGAAATATATGAAAAAATTAAAATTATAAAGGGGCCACACACTAAATATCATCCCAGAACGGCAAGAATCATCGTACAATTATTCAAGGTAGGCCATAGCAACTTATTGGGTCAAAAGTTAAGTATATACATGTATTTCAATGAATTTTATCAAAATATAAAGCTGAAAATTTTCAACATTGACAATGCATATTTAATTTTTTTTCTTTTTTGAAAATAGAATTCCAGTCTTTGGAAAATTTGTGTTTCTATAAAAGCAAACACTTTTTTAACAATTAAAATATTGCTTTCATCTTTTTTTGCCGATTTCAATCAACACATATATAAATACGGTCCTTGCGTATTTTGGTAAACCCTATAAAGGTGAGAATGTGGGAATTTTAGTACGCAGCACATTGAATAAGGTACGAGCCATAAATTAAAATTTTTTCATACTGTGGCTTGTTATGCCAAAGTCAAAATGTGTGACTGTGTGTGTAATGTTTTGAAAAATATAACAAAATGTATTAAAAAAATAACCCCAGACATTCCATTAATTTTTCGCGTTTTTGATAAAATGTAAAAAAATGTCAAATGAACAGAACGGCTTGTTGTATTTGTTTTCATTTATTCTGACATTATTGCCCATAAGGTAGAGGTGTATTTTCTCTTTTCTGACAAAACCTACCCTACCTTGTATAATTGTACCATGGCAAGAATCTACTAATTTTTACTATTTTGTTCGATATCTTAAGTGGGCCACACACGTCAAACATGTGCGCTCGATCGGCGTGAAGCTCCTAGCCCACACACGTCAAACGGATCCACAAAGCTTCATTTCGAAAATGACGAAAAAAAAGACAAATATTTTCATTTCATATAAATTTATTAAATACTTTAATTTATTCCGGGAAAAACATTTTTATTTCCCACATTGCAGGATATGTGTAAAAAATATCAAAAAATTCTTTCAAAACATTTTTTGGCATATTTTTGAAATTGTCCGCTGATCCGCACTCCACCAAATTTCACAACAAATGAGAAAATATCCACACACCAGACCACAGACGTGAAACATGTGCGCGTCGCACAATGAAAAATAAAAAATTGCTAGTTTCTTTCAATCGGTGTGCGAACCGCCAAATCGGTGTGAACACTGTACCTCACACGTCAAACATTGCTTCGATTCACACCGATCGAATGCACATTTTTGAAGTGTGTGGCCCACTTTAAAGGAAAAATTGTTATCGTGGTAAACAGTTGTGCATTTTTACCAGATTTTGGGTACTGGAACGGACCAGTGGTTTAATGGGGTATAAGATCTACTCCGCTTTGTTGTTGCTCTAGCAGCCCTATTGCTTTTACACAATGGTTTGAGGTGACATATCTTGGCCGAGTTGAACCATCTGATAACTGAAAATATGGGATTACTGAATTTTTCTAGGAGTGAAAAGCTGTTCCTTCCAGCAAATATAAAGGTTTGGAATACCATTTCATATAGATTCAAATCATATTGAAATATAATCAAAGTAAATTGAGGTGTTATGTTATGGATGAAACAAACATAAACATAAACCCATATAAATAATTTATCCTATCTCGATAGTTTAATTCTATCTCCGTAAAAGTAAATTGCATGTACGACTCGGTTAAGAAAATTCAGAAATATACCCTAACTGTTAACACATACATACATTTTGATCTAAATGTCAATCAGCTGATGTTTGTTAGTATACAAA